AAGCCCAGGAGTGAGGGTCCATCACCCCCTTTTGCTGCAGCCCCCCAAGTCCTTCTTTTGGGGGGCCTCCCAAAGTGATTGTGCCTGTCTTAGGTCATTCCCCCCGTGGGGAATCTTACCCGTCTTTGGCTAACCGACCAAGCTTTTTGGGGTTCAGTCATGAATAAAGCAGCAGAAGCAGCATTCCTGCCAGGGAGATAAGCTTTTGTCTCCTTGCTGGCTTACGGTTCCAAGGGCGTTCCCTTAGCCTTAGCCTAGGTGGATGTTTCAGCTTCTGATACCAGTCAGGGCGGTTCCCAATAATTTTGTATCTGACACTTTACTTAATTAATCAGTTTCAGTAGTTCTTTGGTGGAAACTTTAGGGTTCTCTGTATTCATTATCATGTCATCTGCAAATAGTGACAATTTTACTTCTCTCTTTCCAATTTGAATGCATTTCACTTTTTCTTCTTGTCTGATTGCTGTGTCTAGAATTCCCAGTATCATGTTGAAAAAAACTTCTGAAAGCAGATATCCCTGTGTTTTTCCTGACCTGATGGGAAGCAATTTTAGTTTTTACCCATTGAATAGGATGTTGGCTGTGGGTTTGTCATATACGGGATTCATTATGTTGAGGGTTGTTCCTGCTATCCCACCTTGCTGAGAGTTTTTATCACAAATGTGTGTTGGGTTTTATCAAATGCCTTTTCTACATCTATTGATATGATCATGAAGTTTTTATCTTTTATTTTGTAAGTATTTGAATCACCTTAATGAATTTGCAGATATTATACCAACCTTGTATACCCTTGATCCTTTAAATCCAAACAAACCCTACTTGATTATGATATATTATCCTTTATATGTTGCTGAACCTGGTTTGCTAATATCTTGTTGAGGGTTTCAGCATCTATTTTCATCAAGGTTATTATCCTACAATTTTTTTGTAGTGTCTTTGTCTGGTTTTGGAATTAGAATAATGCTGGCCTCATAAAAAAAGCTTGGAAGTCTTCCCTCCTCATGGATTTTTTAACAGTTTGAGAAGAACAGGTGTTAGTTCTTTGAATGTTGGGTGAAATTCAACTTTGAAGCCATTGGATCCAGAACACTTGTTTATTGGGGGTTGATTACTGCTTCAATTTCATTATTTGTCATCAATCTATTCATATTCTCTGATTCTTCCTGATTCAGATTCAGAACATTGTATATTTCTAAGAATTTATCCCTTTCATTCAGATTACCTCATTTGTTGTCTTATTGTTGTTCATAATATTTTTGTGCAATTGTTTGTATATTTTTGGTGACAGTTGTTACTTCTTCCCTTAATGATTTTATTTATTTGAGTCTTCTCTTTTTTTTTCTTGAATCTAGTTAAAGGTTTGTCCATCTAGTTATTCTTTCAAAAATCCAGTTTTTGGTTTCATTGATCCTTTGTATTGTCTTTTAGACTCCATTTTACTTATTTCTGCTTTGGTATTTACTATTTCTTTTCTTCTACTCACTTTGGTCTTTGCTTGTTGTTTGTTTAATTACTTGAGATTTTTCTTGTTTCTAAGATATGCCTGTAATGATTTGAATTTCCCTCTTAAGACTGATTTGCTGTGTCCCATAGGTTTTGGTTTGTTTTGTCCTCACTTTTAATTGTTTCAAGGTATGTTTTGACTTTTTTCTTGATCTCAGAGATAACCCATCCATTGTTTAGTAACCAGTTATTTAGCCTCTTTGTCTTTGTGTGTTTTCAGTTTTTTTTCTTGTTATTGGTTCCTAGTTTCATACCATTATGGTCAGAGAAAATGTTTGATATGATTTCAATCTTCTTAAATTTATTGAGACTTGTCTTGTGTCCCAATATTTGGTCTGTCCTAGAAAAATCCCATGTGCACTTAAAAATATTGTATATTTTACTGATTTGTGGTGAAATACTTTGCAGATACCAATTAAATTATTCTGATGTAGTGTGTCACTTAAGGCTGCTGTTGCATTTTTGATTTTCTGCCTAGAAGATTTATCCATTGATGTCAATGGGGTGTTAAACTCCCTTATTATTACTGTATTATTGTTGGTCTCTCTCTTTATGTTCATCAAGATATGCTTCATATATTTAGTTGAATCTATGTTGAGTGCATAAATGTGTACAAGGGTTATATTCTTTTGTTGTCTTGATCCATTTATCATTATATAGCGTTCTTTGTTTCTTTAAAGTCTTTGTTTTAAAGTTTATTTTGTCAGATATAATTATTATTTTTGAATGAAATCTCTTTTTCCATCCTTTCACTTTTAGTCTGTGTGTTTTTTCACTCTGAAATGAGTCTCTTATAGATTATATATATCTTGTTTTCTTACCTATTCAGATACCCTATGTCTTTTGATTGGAGTTTTTAAGCTATTTGTATTTAAAGTGATTATTGATAGGCCATTTTATCCTTCACAACTATCTCCTTCCTTCTTCTTTCTCTTCTTCTTGTCCTTCTTCCTATCCTCCTCCTCTCCTCCTCCTCCTCCTTTTTCTTCCTCCTCAAGAAGACCCCTCAACGTGTCTCAAGTATTGGTTTGGTAGTAATGAACTCCTTTAGCTTTTTTGTTTGTTTGTTTATGAAGCTCTTTATTTCTCCTTCAGTTTTAAATGATAGGCTTGCTGGTCAAAGTAGTCTTGGTATTAGGCCAGCCATTTCTGCATATCCACCCTTCCTAACCAGTTTCAATATACCTTCTTCTGTAAATCCTTTGTTATAAGACTTCTGTTTAGTTGGTCTTCAGCTGCACATTCAGCTTAATTTTTTTATATTTTAGTTGCATTTTCAGTTTGTTCCTGGGAGGAGGTGAATGTAGGTTCCACCTAATTCACCATCATCTTGGATCTCTTACATTTCATTATATCATAATCTAGTCTGTGTTTCCTTTTTCAATTTTACAATAATATCTTAATTTTGAGATTAGTCAGTATGTCACTATATCATTTTTTTCTTCTATGTTATAGCATTCTGTATTTGTTTTTAATAATGCCATCCCCCAGATCATGATGATATTCTCTCTTCTGTTTACTTCTATAAGCTTTGTTTTTTCAATAATCACATTTAAATCTATGTATATTTCATATCTATAACATAATTATTCCTTAAATATTTTGATATATTAATATTCTTTTATTTTTCTTATACACATGCCACATACACACCCTTACATTACTTTCTAAATATTTGTTGCTAGTATACACACATAAATCTTTTATCCTAACACCTTGATCATCATTACAAATGCAAACATGAATAAGATATTCTCTGTTATCTAAGAGTATATTATCTTATTTAATTTCTACACATACTATTGAGCTTTATCTGCTTGCAAGTCACTTTTCTATGCTACACTATTCAATGATTTAAATAGCATATGGTCCTGCAAAGTACTTCAAATCATGGAGGAAATACATATATATGAAAAATAATTACATATTACTAGCATAAGTGCTACTATGGGACAACAGCATCTTATAAATAAAGAAAAATATAATCAACATGCCAAAAAAAAGAGTAGGAGCTTTTTTTTTTAGGTGTATGAGGTCATTTTAAAGAGAGAAAATGTTGTGTACATAGGCTAGCAGATGTGAAACAGCAAGATGTGTGTCAGATTTTACAAGAGGTTCAATGTGGTTAAAAAAATGAATATGGGAAAGTAGGCAGCCATTAATCCTAGATCTGGGAAAGGTGTTCAGAGCATGCTTTACTGGGGTATCTTTAATGGAATGACCAAAACATCTGCTGTTTTTCTTTTGAAAAATTGATTATAATTTCAGCTTTGTTATGCAAATGGTCTTTGTGCATGTGTTTATGTATTACTTCTTTTTTCACTTAAAGTCAAATAAAAACAATAGTGATAAGAGAGTAGAAATATAGTTTATCATTTTATTCCAGAAATAAAAACCCATAGAAGCTCCCAGAATCTATGGCCTTGCTCTTGAGAGAACTGGGGGATATCTTCTAGACAGCCTTCTGCCCACACTGAGGCAAGTGGAAAGAGACCTTACTAAGGATTTTAAAGTGATGATGATAGGAAAAGAAAATAATTTATTCATTATCATTTACTATTGAAATAGGAAGAAATTGGTAATGTTTATAAGGTTTAGCACTTTCTCAAGAAATTACATCAGCAGCAGAGTTTCAACTGTTAGAACTCCATAATCAATCTTTTGAAAATCCCTTTCCAGACATTCCCTTCCTTCTCTCATTCTTGTCCCAGAATATGAGAACTACTACCAGGGACTTGGGGATATAAAAATTCTCATTTACTTTTTCTCTCAGTTGGAAAAGAAGAAGAAAATCTGAATTTGCTAAGATAAATGGAGATTTCTTTCTGAATGCATTTTCTCTTAGAAATACTTTTACTGTGTGTCTTGCTGGAAACTCAGTATTATTAGGTATGTTTCAGGAGAGAATTAGACTTAATGGAAGTCAGCAGACTTGATGGAAAACTTAATTATCAATGAGGCAAAATGATGTCATTTCTACTGGGAAATATATTTAAAATTTCTGCCTATAAAAACATGAGAGGCCTTCAACATAAAATAAATTTTTATCTCACACTAATCGTTATAAACATGGGGAGAATGTTTAATGTTTATTGATGAAATTTACCCAAATAATAATTTATTTTAATAAAACATAAGGCATTTTCAACTTTAAAAAAATGTTTTTTAGCTTTGATAAGTGATGATACAGAAAAATATTCTAAATTTTAGAAAAATATTAAATTTTGTTAATTTAATATTTACTGCTATTACTATACTTGACTTTCCAGGTTTCAAGAGATTTTCCTTTCAAAGGAAAGAGAACATGAGTGTGTAAGAGTTGAGAAGTTTTTGCATTAAGAGAATGAAGTAGTTGTGACTATCCTATATCAGGACATAGATATACACACCCAGATTAGAAAAAAAGAAAGAGAAAATAGGCATTCTGTCAAGGTAAGCAAACATTTATAAACTATAAAGGATAGAAAGAAAATTATGGTTTCTCATATTCCCCGCAGATGGTCTACGTGGCACGGAATGCTAAAGATGTGGCTGTGTCTTATTTTTATTTCTACCAAATGGCAAAATTACACCCGGAGCCTGGTACCTGGGAGGAGTTTCTGCATAAATTCATGACTGGGAAGGTTGAGTCCAACTTTTATTTTAATCAATCATGGAGTTCCATAATAAAAAAGGTGGGTTTGTGTGTGTGTGTGTGTGTGTGTGTGTGTATGTGTGTTATTGTTGTTTCATGAGGAGATATAAAATTCAGATATAATTTTGTATTTATTATACACCTAATATGTGCCCAGCACTGCACTAATGTATTAAGAGACAATAAAAGAAAAATACATAGTCATCTCTCCCCTTTAAGGATTTTTGAAGAATATGTGACACACAGATTTTTCAGCCCTTTGTCTTATTGTTTCATTAGTACTTGGTGACTACTCCTAGGAACTTTCTTCTGTTGCTGTCTGAGTCATTTTATTGTTTTGATTTTATACATTTTTCTTTGACTCTCTTTTCTTTACCATGCCTTCAGTTTTGCTTTATAAACTAAGAATTCTTGAAGATTTTATCTTCAAAGTTTTCTTTTTCTACCTGTGTATCCTCTCTTTCAGGAAAACATATTTACACCCATGCTAGTAATTCTACTTTTAATTCTCATATAAACATTTTCTAATAAAAATGTTTATTTGCCTCTTTTCAAGGCAAATGCACCCCAATGATATCTTCCAAATTTTTACTCCTGCTATTGTTTGGACTATTTACTACCCATAGAATATCTACTCATTCTTTTTTTTTCCTAAATATTTTCAAGTGTATTTCCTAAGTACAAGGATATGCTCTTACATAAATACAGTACTATGATAAAACCCAGGTATTTATATTGATACAATACTATAATCTATGGACCTTACTCTTTGTCAATTGTCCCAATAATGTTTCTTTATAGCAATTTCTAGTCCATGATCCAATTCACAATCACACACCACACATTGCATTTAGTTGTCATATTTCTTTAGTCTGTGGTCTATCTTTGACTTTTATGACTTTTACAATTGCAAAGGTCATAAAATAGGACACACCAGGTGTTTTACAGGACGTCCCTCAATGGAGGTTTGTCTGGTTTTTCCTCATGATTATATTGAAGTTATGAATTTTTGTTGGGACATTATAGAGGTAATGTGGAATTCTTATGGCATCATATCAAGAAATGCAGGGGGTCATTTTATCATTTTCTGATAACATTAACTTTGATCACCTAGCCTGCCAGGTATGTCCACTGTGAAGTTGCTACTGTTCTTAGAACCAGATATACTTTGCCTACTCCAGAGCCCTTTATTCAGCTCTCCATCCTAATGCTTTTCTCTCCTTGGTAAAAAAAAAAGAATAAGATTACATACAAAAGAAAAATTATATATATATGTGTGTGTGTGTATGTGTATATATATATATATATATATATATATATATATATATATATATATATATATATATATATATATATATATGTCATTGTGAACAAAGAAGAAAGAACCAGGGAAGGGGAAGTAAGGCAAATATACAAGAGGTATTTAGTAAACACATGTTTATGGCTGTATTAAAACAATGAGACACATGAAGAGCTTTGATCAAGTAGGCTTTGCTAGGCTCCTTTCTGTCTACCATTCCTAGTTCATATTAAACTGGAATAATCCCTGATGACATCTCCCTTCTGGAACTTGTCCACTATTGTAAATACTTTTAGTTAGTAAAAGGGAAGGCTAGAGTTTCTTCCTGAGCCACTGAACCTTGATTGTTTTTAGTTTAAAATAATCTGTATACCAAAATGACACACCTTGAGGAGACTCATTCTGAACTTCCACAGACCTGCCTTAATAACCTAATTTTAATTCACATCTTTAAAGATACTATCCTCAAATATAGACATATTCTGAGGTGCTGGGCTTAGGACTTCAACATGCAAATTTTGGGGTATACACAATTCAGCCATACTACTCTGCCTTCCAGTCTCCCAAAATTTATGTCCTCACATGCAAAATGCATTCATTCCAACTCCAAAGCTCCAAAAGTCTCAAACTATTCCTGCATCAACTCTGAATCTAAAATCTCATCTAAGTGTCATGTAAATCAGGTATAGGTCAGAGTTATGGTATGATTCATTTTGAGACCAAATTCCTTTTTGGTTGTGAAATTGTGAAAACAGATAATTTTAGAAAATACAGTGGTGGGACAGACATAAATAATCATTTTCATATGAAACAAAAGAAGGAGAAATCAGAAAGAATACAAAACTTGAAACCTAGCAAGGCAAATTCCTTTAGATTTTAAAGTTTGAGAATAGTCCTGTGGATTAGGACGTACCCTAATGACCTCATTTTAACCTAATTACCTCCTTACATGTACCCTGCCTAAACTCAGTCATATTGTAAAGTACTGATTGGATTTCAGGGAACACAACTCATAACAGAAGTACTTCATCCTTTTTTTAGACTGTAAATTCAGTGAGAGTAGGGATGATTTGATATATTTCCATTATACTATTGTCACTTTTTCTTGAAAAAATAAGTAAACAGTATGTATGTATTAATAAAGATAACTTGGAATAACATTTAACAATTCTTTATGTAATTAGTTTTAATTTTGCAAGTATTTTATCTTTTAATGTAGTGGCTTTTGGTTCTTGGTATGACCATGTGAAGGGCTGGTGGGAGAAAAGGAAAGATTATCATATCTTCTACCTATTCTATGAAGACATGAAAGAGGTAAGAGACAACCACAATTTCTTTATTTTTTAAGGAAACCTAAGCTTCATCTTCTTTGTACCACACTTTCCCTTCTTCTTGATCTATAAATATGACTAATCTACTATCCTACTAACTCTGCCTTGAGAATTCATCTTTCACTCAATCCACTTCTTCCTACCACTACGGCTTCCTACTCTATTTCAGGCAACTCTCTAGATTTGTTCAGACTCTCTCATTTTGTGTCTATTTTCCCATCAAAGAGAATGATCTTGAAATCCAAATCAAAATACTGCCAAATTCCTTTTACAAATTTCTCCATAGCTTCTATCTCTTTGTGAAATATAAAATCATTATTAAGATAATATATAAAGTTAAACATTATTTAGTTCCTGTCAATCTCTCCAACTTCTACAGGTGCCACCAATTCCTTTCTCTGTAAGGAAATGTCTTCACTTAAATGTTACTTCTTCACAAAGTTCCTTTACTGCCAAAATGTCAAATAACCTACCTTATTATTATCTATTAGAGTTTGTCTTGCTGCTATTGTTCTCTTCATAGTACCTACTGCCATTTTTAATTATTTTATGAATGTGTTTCTTTACTTACATTTTCTTGTCTCCTCTACTGTAATGTAAGCTCCATGAATGCGGAGATTCAAATTATCTTGTCCATAATTGTTTCCCCTAGTGGCATGCACAGTGGAGAAGCAATGTAATTTCCTTATTTATTCTAGTCTTTATTTTATTATCTTTCACTTGACTATTAGAATGGAAAATAACTCACTCCCTAATATGATCTAAAACTTATTCTGATCTATTTAAATGATCCATTTAAAAAACATTGTTCCACATCTCCTCATAGATAGAGAGTAGGCTGACAGCTGTTGGGGGTGTGTTGCTAGGTGGGGAAGGTAGGGATTGAGAAAAAAGGAGAAAGAACTCATGGACATGGACAATAATGTGGTGACTGCTAAGTTAAGGGTGGTGTGGGGAGATGGCAGAGGGTATAAGGGGAATAAATGGTGATGGATGGAGACTTGACTTGGACTGGTAACACAATACAGTGTAGAGATGAAGCATTGTAAAATTGTGTACCTGAAACCTGTATAATTTTGTTAATCAGTGCCACCAGAATAAATTCAATAAAATAATATTTCACATTTCTTAAATTGAATTTTTCTCAGCTAGCTTGTCTACCTCTCTTTTCTCTGTAACATGATGTCTATGCATGTGGGGCAAAGGATAAATTATATAAGACATAATAAGAATGAGGATAGCTGGGGTCCCTGGAAACAATGTCCATTGGCCTCCACCCCACCTGCCCCCACAAGATATCTGGTTTATCTGCCTCAATTGCTCAGATTCTAGAACCTTGACTCAGCTTCATTTTGATCTCTTAGATTTCTCTGAATTCCTATAGATAGCTATGACTACTATTGATCTTTTATTTGGAAAATCAAATATATAGTTTCTTGAGAAACCACCTTACTCAGCTAAGGTAGATCTTCCTCTGATAGATTCCTTAACCAAATTCTCAGTCTCTTCTGCATCTTATTTAAGTTACTTTGTACCTGTGGCTTTGTATTACCCCACTTGTGAGTCCAAAGCAGCAAGTAGTGGTTGGAGTGGGTCCTGAAGAGGATAACATTTTATCGGAAGGAAAATTCCCAAATGAGGTCGTAATAAGGTTTCAGAAAAAGAAGTTTAGTTTCTTCAAATATGGGATGAAAAATTATATCTGCTGCCAGAAAGGCTCACAATACCTCAAGAGTCTCAGAGTCTTTGTGTCATCAGACCTGCCCCAAATTCTCACTACAAGTTTGAGCAGTCTACCTTTCCTTTATCACTGTTGCACTTAATTTTCACATGATAGACTTGGCACAACTAGAAATTCAACTTTCTCAGTAATTCTTCCACTAGAATAAGTAAGGTTTTTGTCTAATTTTCAGCAAATTTGGTTCTGGAGCTAGAAGAAATAGATGATTTTAGAGCCACTACAGAAACTCTCTGGTTCTGTTTCCATGAACTGAGATGGGTAGCTCAGGAAAGATAAAACTCAGATTGCCCTTCTTCCTGATATCACTAGGTCACTAAGATTATGGCTTTATTTCTCAGTTTGGTTTGTACCACCAAGAATACCTCCCAGTGGGCAACAGGGTATAAACTCTTTGGCCTAAGCACCATTCTTTCATTTTATCTAACATGTTGTTCTATGTACAATCCGAAGTACAGGAAGAGGAAAGTGAGACCTTCCTAAAATGTGCTAAAAAAAACACAACTGCTGAGCCCAGCCCCTGTATCTGTATCTGACTGCCCCAAGGCCTGGCACTAGCAGTAGCCATCTCCAGATCGCTTTATAGCTTACGCCAAGGAGCCCAAGAGAGAACACAGCTGGAGGTTGATCTTGACCTGAACCACTAGGGAACCCTGAGAGCCTGTGCACCCAGTGGACAGTTACAGAACACCTCAGAGTGCCATTCAACCACCTCCACAAGCCACTGAGGGAGATGTTTGTTGGCCAGGGGTCATAGACAGTCCTATCAACTGTCTGAACTGGATAAATCCCTTCCATTGGCCTGCTGACAGCAATCAAGACTAATCTACAAGAGGAGAGAGTACTCCACCACACAGAGGGTGCACCTTGAGTACACAGCTTGAGAGATAGGAGAGGCTATACCAATGGACCCTATGGGACACCTACTACATTAGGCAATGCTACCAAGACATGGAGTTGAAGCAGCTGCACCTAATACATAGAAAAAAAAATACTGCCAAAATGAGGGTACAAAGAAATATTGCCTAAATGAAAGAACAAAACAAAACTCCAGAAAAAGAACTGACCAAAATGGCTATAAGTAATCCATCAGATGCAGAACTTAAAACACTGGTTATAAGCCTGGTCAAGGAATTCAGCTGAATTTCAACAGCATAAAAATAATGTAGGCAGCAATGAAAAGAAATACTAATTGAAATAAAGAACATTTTGCAGGGACATCCAACCAATGGCCAATGAGCCATTGTGGTCCAGGATGTCTATGAATGTGGGTTAATACAAAATCATAAATTTACTTAAAACATTATGATATTTTTTGTTATTATGTGTCACAATATATTTAATGTGTGGCCCAAGGTAACTCCTCTTCCAGTGTTGTTGCGCGTGGGTCACCGGCCAGCAGTGACCACGGAACTCTGTGGATGGCTCAACCATAAACACGCAAGAAAAAACAACACATGCACAGAGACAAACTAGTTTCTGTGGGGAAGTAGGGACGAAATGGCCACCCCCCCTAGTGGGGAGTGCGCTGATTTACCATCCATACCTGCTTTTATTAGGCTCATTTTGCATAATAATTCAGGTAAAGTACAGTACTCATTAGGGGTAGTAAGGAACTATAGAAAACAAAGAACTCTGCCCGTCTGTTGAGTTGGAGGTCAAAGAGCTGTAAGTCTGAGGAACAAACTAACTTCCTCCTAAGACCCTTCTCATTCAACTGAGAGCATTCTAAACAAAGAAGGTTTCACAGTAATTTACATGTTCTTTCTTAGGCCTGATCACCCCGGGAAATCCGCACTTCCCAGTACCGAGCTGTACTACCCTGTCATTGTTTCAGGCTTAGGTGGAGCACGGGAACTAAGGCCACTGAGAGATAAGGAGATTTTCTTCCGGACGCTGAGAACTCAGACTTTGTCGAAGCCGAGGAGTGAGGGTCCATCACCCCCTTTTGCTGCAGCCCCCCAAGTCCTTCTTTTGGGAGGCCTCCCAAAGTGATCGTGCCTGGCTTGGGTCGCTCTCCCGTGGGGAATCTTACCCATCTTTGGCTAACCGACCAAGCTTTTTGGGGTTCAGCAGCAGAAGCAGCATTCCTGCCAGGGAGATAAGCTTTTGTCTCCTTGCTGGCTCACGGTTCCAAGGGCATTCCCTTAGCCTTAGCTTAGGCGGGGGTTTCAGCCTCTGATACCAGTCAGGGCGGTTCCCAACATCTTAGAAACTTTGAAAGTAATCTCAAATTTACCATTTATCTTTCTTTTCAGGTATTGCAGGAGACTGGAAAAACAAGTTTACTGTAGCCCAATATGAGAAGTTTGAAGAAGATTATGAAAAGAAAATGAAAGAGTCTACACTGAAGTTTCGATCAGAGATCTAAGAAATAAGTGCTCTTTGTCCAACACCTTTGATGGCATTTAAATTAGAACAATATCTCTTTGAACATTTGGTGAAAGAAAACTCCATGTGACATTTCCTCATTTAATAATGCTAGTGATTTTCAATAGAATATTCAAAGAATTTCAGAGTCTACATATGAAAAATCAGTACTGTCTCTATGATTGTAACTACCTTCCACAAAGTTTTTACTATTCTTAAAGGCTAAATGAAATAAAGTTTAAAATTATAAATTTACCTGCTTATTTTTTTAATTCAAGCTGTGGGTCTTTGAACTTGCAAAGAAGATATTTGAGTCTTCATGATAGATTGAATGGAACCAAATATTCCCCCAAAAGACTTTAATTTCCCTTTGTTATAACTTAGAATGATAACTATGTGTGGCAATGGATGATAACTACACTTGTGGTGATCATTTCACAATATATGCACCATTAAATCATTTTGTTGTACACCTGAAAGTAATATGTTATACATCAATTACATCTCAATTAAAACAACAATTGAGAGTGCCACTGTCAACTCCTTTGTCTTCCTACAAATTCTCTGTTTCCTCAGAATATTTGTAGTGTCATCGTACATGACTCATGATCATCTGACATGAGTGAAACCAGAAAAATCAGCATTTGTGCTGCCTTTCACTACCAGAGCCACTAAGTAAAGACAAGGATTGATTCTCTATGGGGGGGTTTATTTAGATGCCGCTGATCTGATAAAATGGTGGGTTATGTACTCTCAAAAACATCTTAACAGCTCATTTCAAGCCAATCTTTTTATAAGGAGAAGGAACTGTGAATAAGGGGTTTGGTAAAAAGGCCAGTTGGATAAGAGTTGCAGTCTGGGGATGATTTTCCTAGTATTTATTTATTTGCTGATCAACAATTCCTTTTTTCCCCATGTATTTTTTCTTTTAAGTATATTTTATTGATTATGCTATTACAGTTCCATTTTTTTCTCTCTTTATCCCCCTCTGCCCTGTACCTCCCCACCCACCGGCATTCCTCCCTTTAGTTCATGCCCATGGATGGTACATATAAGTTCTTTGGCTTCTCCACTTCCTATACTATTCTAAACTGCCTCTTGTCTATTTCATAACTATCAATTATGGTTATTATTCCCTGTATCTTTTCCATCACTCTCCCCTACTTTCCCTCCCAGCAGATAACCCTCCATGTGATCTCCATATCTGTGATTCTGTTCCTCTTCCTGTTGTTTCCTTACTTTGTTTCTGTTTTTGGTTTATAAGTTCAGTTGTTGATTGTTGTGTTTGTTGTCATTATACTGTTCATAGTTTTGATCTTCTCCTTTCTCTTCAATAAGTCCCTTTAACATTTCATATAATAAGGGCTAAGTGATGATGAACTCCTTTAGCTTTACCTTGTCTGAAAAGCACTTGATCTGTCCTTCCATTCTAAATGATAGCTTTGCTGGATAGAATAATTTTAGTTGTAGGTCCTTGCTATTCATGACTTCAAATACTTCTTTTCAGCCCCTTCTTGCCTGAAAGATTTCTTTTGAGAAATCAGCTGATAGTCTTATGGGAATGCCTTTGCAGGTAACTCTCTACTTTCCTCTTTCTGCTTTTAAAATTCCTTATCTTTAATCTTGGGTAATGTAATGATCATGTGTCTTGGTGTGTTTCTCCTTGGGTCCAATATCTTTGGGACTCTCTGAGCTTCCTGGACTTCCTGAACATCTATATTCTTCTCCAGACTGGGGAAATTTTCCTTCATTATTTTTTCAGATAAGTTATCCATTTCTTGGTCTTCCTCTTCTTATTTTGGCATTCCTATGATTTGGATGTTGGAATGTTCAAATTTGTTCCAGAGGTTCCTAAGCCTCTTCTCATTTTTTTGAATTCTTGTTTCTTCATTCTGTCCCAGTTGAATGTTTTTTTCTCCCCTCTGTTCCAAATTGTTGATTTGAATCCCAGTTTTCTTCCCCTTCTCTGTTGGTTCCCTGTATATTTTTCTTTATCTCACTTTGTATAACCTTCACTTTTTCCTCAAATTTTGCGACCATACTCAGTCATTTCTGTGAGCATCCTAATCACAATTGTTTTGAACTTTGCATTAGATTGGTTGGCTGTCTCTTTGTAGCTTAGTTCTTTTTCTGGAGTTTTGATCTTTTTTTTTTTTCATTTGAGCCATACCACTTTGTCTGGACATCCCTGTTACATTGTAAGGGGCAAAGCCTTAGGTATTTGCAGAATGAGGCAACCCACTTTTCTGCATTGTTGAGCTGTCTGTGGGGGAGGGGTCAGAGGAGACAATGCTGCTTGCTCAGCTTTCATCCCACATTCAGTCTTTTCCCCTGCTACTTACAAGCACATTGAGTCATTCTGGTGCTGATTCCAGAGGTATGTGGGTTTATGCACATTCTAGGGCCCTGTGGGTGTCTCTAGTGAACTCTCCTGTGAGGCTGGGAGTTTCTCCTGCCACTGCAACCCCCTAGGTTTTTATAGCCAGAGGCTTTGAGGCTTTAGTTTCCCTGCACTGAATCCCTGGGTTGTGCAGTCTGTATTGCTCTCCAATTGTTCCTCTTGATTTATCTGCATATGAATGTAAGACCATTTGGTATACCAGCCACTGCCTTGCATGCCTGTTCTGTCACCTTGTTGAGTGTCCTCACCATCATGGCTGCACTCTTCCACCCCTCCTATCAGTTTGGGTGAATGTTTCTTCTTTAACTCCTTAGTTGTAAAACTTCCATACTGTTTGATTTTCTAACTGTTCTGGGTGTTTTTGTTTTTAAATTTGTTGTCTTCCATCTTTTGGTTGTGGAGAAAGCAAAGTGTACCTACCTACACCTCCATCATGGCAAGAAGTTCTGATCAACAATTTTTAACCTGTGTCACAGATATTCTCTCCCTGGAAGACAACGGTTCAGATACCATTTCCACTCAACAAAGGCTGAATTGCTTGTCAACCTCCTGAAGTTACTTAGGTCACATATTGTAGTTTCTGAAATAACAACTTTCCATATGCATTAATAACTTAAGCTTCTCAACTAAATGTAAAATCTTTAGCTTCTTCTGAGTTCCCCTATTATAAAGATGAAGTAAGGATGCCAGTGTGAGTCTATAAATTGTATTGGAGTAAAGTTCAATCTCTTTATATTTGTTATTATATATAACTATACATAACTGCTATATATATAAATAGAAACAGTGAAATAGAGAACTATGAATAATATAAATGTCCATATATAATTGAATAATAATTACATATATATAAGCAGATCACATTTTATTGATTATGGTGCTCTGTGGAATGCATGAATGCTACTGGAGAACAACCTTATATATCACAGATAATTCTTAGGTCATAATGTCAGAATACCTCATTTTAGATGTACTAAATTTCAGAAGAATGGGTCAACACTACTAATTCTGAATCATTTAAAGCAAGGAAGATTAGAATGATCCAATTGCTTTTATTTTATGTCACATGTTGAATCTACTCTAAAATTCTGTTGCTGTAACTGGTGATATTTTCTCAACATATTGCCAGCAATGATCAACCATTTGTTACAATATTATCTAGATTTAGATGGCTTCTGTAAGAATTCCCATGTATAATGATCCACCCTTTAGTCAGACCTATTCTCTTTACCTGGCTTCTGGCCTACATCAGAGTACTTGCTAAATAGCCCTTTTCCCTCTGGCATTCACCATTCTTAGCTGTGGACCAAATGCTTTTATCCAAGATCCACTACTGAGCAACAGAAAGAAACATCAAACAATTTGGAAAAATCTCCAGGGATTTATGTGGAGAAAAACATCTAATCCCCATACATCAAAGACTATATTTTTTCATTTATATTGTAAAAAGTGAAATAAATAGAGCCATTCTAAAATTGAATTGGAGGCACCAGTCCAGAGGAAATGCTTTGCACGTCTTAGTCCTTGAAGCATTTTGAATATTTGGGGGAAAATAATATTTGGACTGGTCTAAATCAGCATTATCTTATAAACAACTGTAAAGCTAACAGGAAAAAGTAGACATCCTGACCACAAGGACTAATGATTATGAACATTCTTTAGAATCAGTAAACAACCATGTATAGCTCAGGAGAAATATAGCTTGTTAACATCAATAGAAATTCCTTTCTCTATTCATGTGATTGTTTCTTTTTCCCTTTCTTATAAAACTCCTTGACTTCACCCTGCATGTGGAACACTATTTGGGTTTCTGCCTGAATCAGTGCTTACAAGACTGCAATCCTTTGATTTCAAATTAATATGTATTTCACCTCACTTTGACTTTTTACTTTTAAGGTTAATGATACAAAATTCTTCAAATGTCAAAATGTGTGAAACAAAGAACTGAGTAGTGGTTGATAGAATTTAAAGAAGGGACTGCAGTGAAGTAGATGAAGCTATAAAAGGATAACCTGTGGTGATAGAAATATTCTGTATCCTAACTATTAATATCCTGGTGTTGATATTATACTACAGTTTTGCAAGATGTTATTACCATTGGAAAAAACTCAGTAACAAGGCACATAGGATCTTTGTATTATTTCTTGTAACCTCATGTGAATCTATAAGTATCCTCAAATTTAAATACAATAAGAAAAGAACAGTTTTGAGAAAGTCAGGTAACTACAGTCTGAGATAGTTTAGTTAAAGCAAACCAAAATTACGATCAATTATGGTGCAGTTTAAGAGGGTTCTAAGGCTCGATTACGGAGTGTGATAAAGGGAGTCTCCAAAGAGGAAGGGATCTTTTGTCACTGGGCACTTGGCTGCCTGTTCATAGGGCTCACTCAGCTCTGAGCCTTGAAAGAATATGTCCTCATCTTAAAAGATTAATAGCCTTGTGATATTAACAGGCAAATATTAAAATATAAACATATAAATTTGTTCACATTTCTATGATGAGCTTGACAAAGTAAGATTGGATCAAATATTTTTCTCAATAGTTTGTAGAATAGCAAATAAAGGAAATAATAACCATGAGCATCCTGGTGGTCTTTTAATAAAGGCCTCCCATTATTCAATATGTAAAGTAGTAATTAAATGATTTATCTGTTAATCTCTTAACACAAAAGCAGTGTAATGCATGCTGATTAAAGAGATTGAGTTCCCAGGAGTAAAATACAAATTTATGCTCAGACTGTTCCAAAAGGAAAAGTAATATATCCACGCTGTAGAATTGAGACTGAGTCTTTAAAGCCAGAAGCTGTAAATCATTTCCTATTTTTCTAAGACAAAGCCCATTGTTTATTT